TAAGAATAGTTATTTATTTATAAACTATTTATTAAATATAAATTAATAGAAATTTTAAAATATAGTAATCTTATATAAAAGTAATATAATTATATTTTAAATAATTATAACTTTTATATTTTTATATTATTAAAAGGTATTCAAATTAATAATTTAAAAATTACTTTAGTTTATTTAATAATATTAAAACTAAACTAAATAGTATATATAGCTATAAATTATATTAACTTTTAAAAAACTAAACTTTATTTTTACCTTTTATATCTAACTATTATAAATACTATATTAGATATTAAGGTCTTTAAGTTTATAATACTTTTAACTTTAACTTTAAGTTTTAAAGATAAATAAGTATATTTATTTAAAAACTATTTATAATTATAAAGATATTATTTATTTTATAATAAGCTTTAATAAAGTAATTAAAGTTTTATTATATTTAATATTATTAATTAAATTATAATAGTTATTAAGTTTTAATATAAGGATTTTACTAATAGTATTTATAATATATTTTAAAAGCTATTATAGAATATTAGAATTATTTTAATAGGTATTAAATTTAAAATAATTTTAATATTATTATTTTATATAAGGTAAGAATATTAATATTAAATCTTTAAACTTTAATTTAATTTTAATAACTTTATATAATAATATAATTTATATAATAATTATAAAATTAAACTTTAAGTTATATAAGCTTAAAGATATTATAAAGATACCTTTTAATATAGTTTATTTTAATTAAATTAAAGGATTACTTAATATTAAAATATTTAATAAAGCTTTTCTTTAATTATTAAAAATAGTATTTATATTTATAATATAAATTTAATTTATATTATTAAACGTTATAAATTAATAAAATTTTACTTTAAATTATAAAAAATAAAGGACTAATTAATATATTTAAAACTAAATAATAAAGGTTTTATTAATTAATAGTTAGTAATATACTAAGTTTAATTATTATTATTACCTACTTTTATATAAAGATAAGAAGGTTTTAATAAAATTTATAGAAAGTTTTATAAATAAGGGTATATAGAAAAATTAATAAGATATATCCTTTTATTTTATTTATTTTTATAGTTTAATATATTATTTATAATATTAAAAGGGATAAATAGTTATTAATTTATAATTACTTAATAAGTAGGCTATTTTAAATAACTATTTACTTTCTTTATAGTTAAACTTAATTAATATTATATATAATAAAAGTTTATTATAGTTATTAATACTTTTATTTTCTTTTATTAGTTTTAATTTACTTTATTTATTAAAATTAATTTATAATTATAAGTTATTAAAACTTTAAGTACTTTAAGGTTATATTAATAAACTATTATAATTTATTAATTTATACTTAATATTTTATAAATTATCTTTTAAAAAGTATAAAAATTCTATTATATATTTATTAATAATATAATTATTTTTAAATATATTTAAAAAGTATTATAAATATTTATTTATTATTTTTAATTTATTTTTAATAAGGGTATATTAATTTTACTTAAAATTATTCCTTAATTATTTATTAGTTAAGCTATTTAGTTTTATATTAATTTATTTAATTTATTTATTATTAAAAATATATTAAAAGATTTTAAAACTTTAAGTTTTTAAATATTTAAGTCTTTAAAAATATATTTAAGTATTATAGGATTCTTATATATAATAATTTTATATTATATATAAGTTTTTAAAACTCTTTAGAAATATAAGGTTACTCTTCTTACTATTAAATAAGTAGTTAGTTATATTAAAGTAGATAATAAAAGTAAGTATTTAATTTATATTAACTTTATTTAATTTAATTTAACTCTATAAAAATTATTTTCTTTAATACTTTTAAGTTTATATATATAAAAGCTTTACCTTTATTATATAATATTAAATAAACCTTTATTTCTTTAAATTAATAATAGTTTTTAATATAGTTTTAACATTATAATTTTTATTTAAAAATAATATAATATTTACCTTTAAATAGAATATACTCTTTATAATTATTAAACCTATTATATTCCTTAATTATTATTTATTAAAATTAAAATTTAATTATAACTCTTTTAAATTTAAAGTAGTCTATTTTATTTAATTTATTAAGTATTTATATATTATATTTTACTTTTAAATTATTTAATTATTATTTTATAAATTATAATACTATATATAATATTATTAAATAGATAATATTAAATATAATCTTAACAAATTAATTTAATTATTATTTTATTAATATTAGTATTTATTTAAATAAATATAAGCTTTAAGTTTACTATTTAATAAACTATTTTAACTTTATATTTAATATTTTATTTTAACTAAAAGTATTTAATAATATTATTATTAAAAGTACTTTAGAAACCTATTCTTAATTTTATTTAAAATAATTATACTAATTATATATTATTTATTACTAAAATATAAATAAATAATTCCCTTTATTAATATTTTATTAAAATTTATAAGTATAATTTTATTTATAATTAAATTATTAATAGTTTAACGATATTTATAATAGTTAGTTATAAATTAATTATTATTAAAAATAATAAAATTATTATTTTAACTTTAAAGTTTAAATATATATTTTATTTAATTAATTAATTATTATATAACTATAATAATAAAGGTTAAGAATATTTATATATTTTTAATATTTAATTTAAGAAATATTAATTAATATTTATAATAATAAGTATTATTTTAATTATAATTATATAATAATAACCCTTAATAGTATTTATATAAAAGAAAGAAATATAAAATTAAAATATATATAAAGTATTATTATTAATATGAAATATAATATAAGGATAATTAAAATTATTTAAAATCTTTAACTAATTTAAACCTTTAAAAGGTCTATATATATTATTATTATAAACTTTATAATTACCTTATTATTAATACCTTTTATAAATATTTTATAAAGTTTAAAGAGTTTTAACTCCTTTAATTTAATAATATTAATTATATATAAAATATTAAAATATATACTTTTAATATTTAAATATATAACTTATATTATTAAAAATTAAATAGCTATTTTAATATATTAATTATTATTAAGTAATTAATTATACTTTTAAGCTATTATTTTAAATTAAAATATTAAATTCCTTTTATATTCTAATAGAGTTTATAAAAGCTTTTAAAATATATCTTTAAATAATAATAACTTATTATTTTAAGTAAATAAATAATTTAAATATAAAAACTAAAATATAAAATTAATATTTTACTATTATATTATTAAATACTTTAACTATAATTGAATTAATATACTTTTAACTTTATAATAAAATTTAAATAAAGTATATTTATATACTCTTAAAATAAATCTTTATAAATTTCTATTTAAATTTAAAATCTTTAAACCTATTAATAAACTAATAAGCTTTAAACTTTCTTTATAAACTATAAATATTTAATTTATTTAAAAATATTTATAATAAAATATTTAATTAACTATAAATATAATTACTTTAAATAATAAAATTTAATATAATATTTAATATTAATAATAAAGTTTAGCTTAAAATAAATAAAGTTTATAAACCTCTTTTAAAACTTAAAATACTAAACTAATAACTCCTTAAAAGACTTTTATACTATTATTACTAAAATCTCTTTACTAATATACTATTTAAATTTTAATAAAAATAAAAATTATATTAATTTAATTATTTTATTTAATATCTTTATTATATATAACTTATAAAATTAAAAATTTAATTAATAAATTTCTTAACCTTTATTTATTAAATATATTAATTTATTAATTAAAAGAAGAAATACTTTAAAATTAAATAAATATTTAATTAATAATTATTTAATAAAATAATTAAATATTTAATTTAAGAAAAATATAGTTTAAAATATAATAAATAAAAATAAAATATAACCTTAAATATATTAAAAATTAATTAAGGAGTTTAATACTTATAAAAAGGAATCTACTTAACTATATTATAATAAAAGTAATAAAAATATTATAACTTTTCTATAACCTTAATATTTATAATAAATATAATAAAATATAACTATACTTATATATAAATAAATAAATAAAGTATAAAAAGGTAACTAATTAACTATTAACTAATATTAACTAATAGATATATAAGCCACATTTTTAAGCTTACCTTAAAGATTATAAATAGACTTTCTAACTATTAGACCTTCCTTTTATACTATATATAAATACAATATAGTCACACCTTAACTTATATACTACATTTAATACCTTTAGACCGGGCTACAATAAGTTAAAATAAAAGGGAGTAGACTTAATTTATAAAAGAAAAAGCTAAATTAATATAAAGAAAACCTTTCTTATAGGCTCCTAGTTAAAATTATAATATAATTTTATTTCTTACTTTATTATATTAATAATAATATAAAAGCTTAAATAACTATTATAATTTATTATATATTTAAAAATATTTATAATAATTATTATTAATTATAAAGTAATAAGTAAATATAATAAATAAAATAAATTTATTAGAAATTATAAGTAAAAGAATATTTTATTTTAAATTAATATAAATATATTATATTTTAATATATTTAATACTTTTAATTAATTTTTATATTTAAAATATATTTAATTATAACTTTATAAAATAATTTCTAATTATTTTATTTTTAATTCTTTAATATTATATATATAGTAGTGAATACTTAAGACTTAGCTTTTAAAGACAACCGTAATCCTAATAATAGTATAGAGAGAATATAGTACATTGGTGGGTATGTCGTCTTATGCTCGTGCTGTACAGATAAGGCAAGAAGGTATCGCTCTTGATGGCGCCGCTGACTGGACTCGTCGACACAAGTAGCCCAAGGGCCCAGGGCATCTAGAATGGTGATTCCCTGTGGTATCTGCTTGACTGTTAATCCATAGATGCTGGCAGGCACCCCCCTGAGACGACGGCCGCCCCAACGGTTGTCTGCGACACACCGAAGGCCAGCTGTGGTTGAACATGATTTCATTACTAGAATATTCTTTTCTGTACAGGCCCGTTTTATGGTAGGTTGCACTAAGTTACAATGCGAAGCTTGAAAAAAGGTAGAGACTGATAGGAATCTATAGCCGATCATGGTCTCGCCCCGGGTGGTCCTGTCTGGCGCACCAGTCATACGAACGATCGATACTGGCCCATCTGCTCAAGCGGCCACTTGATGACCTCCCTCCACCGGCGCGAGATGAGCCGCTCGACGTCCGTGGCGACGCTGACGCCCCACCCTTTGACGAACCACGTCTTGCTCTCGGCGCGGTACATGATGCAGCAGTAGTACATGATGACCAGCAGCGCGACCTCGTTCCGCTGCCTGACCAGCTGGATGTAGTCCTCGGCGATGGTGATGGGCCAGTAGGTCGTGACGCGCATCTCGGCGTCGTCGGTCGTGACCACCGCCTTCTCGATGGCGTCGATCAGCTTCCTTATCTCGAGGTCCACCAGCACCACCACCAGGTTGTCGATGTCCGGCTCGCCCTTGATCGCCGCCGACAGGTTGCGCAGCTCCTCGGCCAGCCTCGGCATGAACGCGTTGTTTTTGTTGTGCGTCTGGAAGTGGAACAGATCCTTGAAGTAGCCGGCCTGGATGCACTCCTCCGAGGACTGCAGCACGCTGGCGACGCCCCTGTCGAGTATGAACACGTCGATCATGTCTTCGATGGTCGGCGGCCGCTGGCCCTCGAACAGTGGCGAGTCGTTGGGCCTGATGTTAGCAAAGGAGGCAAACGCCCCTACGAGAAGCAGCGAGGACGCCATGAACAAGGCGTGGCAGTTCTCTGACGTGATGGCTGCGAGATGGCCGCGCATTCCTTCGATAGACCGGTTCTGGTGCTGTGACGCGTGGAGAGAATGCTCGCTCCTCTGCCCCGGGTGAAGGTAGGCCTGGTGGAAAGCAGCCACTGCGAGAATCTGGTGGACTAGGAAGGGGTATTTGTACGCGAGCTTTGGAACCTGCACCTGCCAGACATGCAGCTCGTCCTGGGCCCTCGGGAGAGTTAGTGAGGTCGCGACACTATAGTGATGCATCAATTCGAGGTCCTGGATCCAGGCGGCCTCGCGCTCGCCGCCTATGGGGAGCATGAACTTGTCGAAGTAGGGGAAGGGGTCCTCGTCTGTCGAGGGCGGCGTCATCGTCTTGTGCCTCTCGGGGTCGGGGCACAAGGTCGCCGTCGCGGTTGGCGTCTGCACGAGCGAAGGGTCCGGAGGACTCAGGCTCTGGAAGGGGGAATTGATTGAATTGAAGTCGGGCAAGTCAGGCAGTGAGCGTCTCTGGATACGGAACTGTCAGACTCAACCATGTCCGTATCGCATCCCGGAGGCTGGACCTTACATGATCCAAGGTCGAAAAGCTGGTCTTGGAGCCCTCGGGGCTGGCTGAAGCTGTCGTCACCGAGTTCTCCCTCTCCCGCTGCTCCTGCTCCCGCTCCCTCGCCTCCCTCTGAAGAATGGCAGGGGGCGGGTTGTCCAACAGACTGCACTTCACATCGTGCCGTATACAGGCCGAGCAGGGCCTCTTCTCATCGCACTGGCATGCGGTCAGCTGATATTCCTTGGCCAAATCGGACCTGTGCGAAGGGACAAAGAGATCGAGGCATATTGGTGGGGAGCAAAGAGTCCAGCACGGAGTGCCAGCGGGTGATCCGGACATGGCATTGGGCACGTAACCTTAGGAGGAGCGGCGCAGTGGGTCAAGTCAAATACCCCGTAACTCACCTTGACACGTCGCTGCCGGCATCGCATACACCCATTCCTCGACTTTGTATATCCAAGTCGCGGCATGGAGACGGTGATTGTTCATCTAGATGCCAGGTTGGTCCGATAGGGCGGTTGGTTGTGTGTGCGTTAGGTTAGCGAGAGCGAGAGCGAAGTGATAGTGAGTGACCCGGGACAAAAGGGGATGAGAGCTTTGATGTGACGGAGCTGGCCCACACCAAGCGAGCGGATCAGTGGCCCCGGCAAGACGGATCAAGCAGATACAGTTCGTGTTCTCGGGAGAGAAGAGTGCCGGACGAGGTTGAAGATTCAAATACAAAACTCGAGGACGGTGAGGCCGCCTTGGGAGTGCATTGAGTAGCTTCGGATTCTTGACGTCTGGACTCGGCTAGACTTGACACATTTGGAGGTTTCGAGGGGCCCAAAGTTGGAACATGGAGGAGTCGAAGAGGGCCTGTTGGGCTGCCCAAGCCCACGATTAGCGGACAGCGCTGATCTCGGACATGAAACCGGGTTAACTACGACGGGAGCTCCGCAGCAACCTATTCGTCCAACGGATAAACATGACCTGGCCTAGCTCTGCTCTCCTCGCCTCCAAGCCGCGACTCATTACTGCTCGACCACTGCACCAGAATCCAGAGAGCGTTTCTCAGGATCAGGATGGAGGGCCGAGCGTGCCGCCCTTCTTTTTTGACACCCTCAAGCCACTGGACGTGCAGCCCGCAGGCGCTGCGACTCGCCACAAATACCCAGGCTGGGGCCATACCGTGTTTGGGCATTGGCTCGCCGTGGACTGGGATCTCGGCGCACGTTTTGTTTTACCAAGCCCTTGCAGGAGGGGTTTGTCGGCGAAGATATTTATATACACAAACTCACTTGACGCTTACTTTCTTGGCTTCTCCTGCCGCTGAGAAAAGTTTTGATTTCCCTCACGACATCCCATCACGGGACGTCCTCGAATGCCTTGCCAAGCCAGACAGTGTCCCTTCAATCTTGGGAAACCACAGCGGGCATTTGCATTCGAAGTGTCTGGCCTCCACCCAACAAACCGTTTCCTTCAATGACGTCGGCAAGTTGCAGCAGCTGACAGACGCTGCCAGCCCGTTCAATGTTGCAGGCCGTACTTTAATGTTGTCAGAGATGATCAAGCATTGGCTAAACGTTCTTGCAGCATCAATGATAATTGGCAATGCGAAAAGTCTCGCAGGCTGGCGCATGACTTATGCGAAGTCTCTGGGTCAATGACTGTGTGGAGGTCCTTTATGCAATTCTGTTGACACGGTGTTCATGAGCGGAAGGTCCCGCGGGAGGGGGTGTCTGCGGACATCAAAGCAGACATCAATTGTAGCGCTGTCGCTGTTGCTGTCGACGATCTGTCTGCGATGATGTCTAGAATTAAAACATTACCTTAACCAATTCGGAGTGTTCAATCAGTTTATGGTTTATGGATGGTGCTGCCAAGGACAACGACGGGTTCTGGGTCACAGTCCGTGGTTGTGGTTGGTTTCCATGGCCGTCAAGGGCCCAATGCCAGTTTTCCAGATGCAAAAATCGAAGCAACTTCGGACAAAATGACCTCAACCAACGACTGAGTCATATTAACAAGCTGGTCGCACGTTTCCAGCCGCTAGATGTCAAAACACGTCCGATATGATTGTCACATCTAAGTTGCACTTGCAATTCGGGTCGTACGCAACTGACTGATCGTCTTCCAAGTCCTCTCTGCTGTCCGCTCCACCAGTGCTTCTCTGTCAGCGGGAAATTGATGAAACTCGTTGATAAACCATGAGCATATATGATGTATCAATCCTGAAAAAAATACCCGCATTCCATATCATGGTAATTATCGGGTGTGCCGTTTGTGAGAACCTGGTTATGTGTGTACCTGGGTAATGTACCCAGCAATACATCCTTGCCAACTTGAAGATCCCATAGTAGAGCTGATTCAAAACAGTCAGGGAAGTGACTGTCCTTGACCCTATTTTGTGCTAGCAACTGCAAGAGCCACAGCATTCCTGACGATGATGAATAGAGCATCTTTCAAACCAATCCCTGTCAGCTCCCAGATCTCCCATAAAAGACACTGTGTTGAAAGGTTTTGTTGCACGAAAGAGGCATCAAGTGGCTGAGAAAAGGATATGTTCTCACCTTCACGTGGCTGGGAGAAATCTCATCCAACCACTCCATCATGACAAAATATTCCGGCCAGGTCTCTTCATATCCTACCCGTGCAGGAGGGACACCTAGACAAGCTGTCGCAAGGCCGTGTCGCCAGTGGATCACCGTCTCGTCCGCATGTGATAACCCCAAGGCATAGACGCTCACGCGATCTGAGGGCTGGCCGTGGGCTGCCCAGAACCTGGAGAACTCTCCCTGCGTCGTGCAAGTCGCGATCCCGCACGCTGCCCACACCAGGCAGTAGTCGGTGGACGGATAGCCGTGAGAGCTGACCCATGCCAAGCAGGCTCTCATGTTGTCCCGGGACTGCCTGTCCTCCTCCTTGGCTATGTCGGCCTTGATGCTGTTCAAGCACTTGCGCCACAGCTTCGCGTTCTCCTTGGTCGAGCAGCCCGCAAAAGTGTAGGTAGGTGGTGCCTGCCAAGCTCGATTCTTGGGAGTTGAGAGGGGCGGATCGTCGTCCCATGAAGCCCGCCACCTCTCTTCCCGGTCGGTCTGGATCATCTGCCAGCGCAGACACATGGCGGCATCCTGGTGATCAACGTCATCGGGCTGTGATTTGATAAGCGAATTGCCCCATCGGGACTTTCGGGATCATACTGACCACAAGAAACGTTTCTTCGAGGTGTTCTTGTAAGTCGCCTGGTCGTATCCGTTGTTTGAACTCACAATACGCCTCCCGTGATTCCTCCCTTGCAACTCCATATGTAGCACGCACAATAGACCGACTGTCAGGAGCACCGTGCCTGCGTATGAATAGATCGCAGGCCCTCTTATTCATTTCACGTGCGGCTTTAACCCGTCTTGACCTTTTTAGAACCGATCCCAAAAGAACAACTATGGCTGTTCCCAAAATCCCCCAGCCAGTCAAAGCTCCTCTCCGCATTTCCAGGCAAAAGACTACACCGCTTCAATGGGCCGTAGAGGAAAATGAGGTCCGACTGCAAATGGGTCGAAGCTTAGTTATTTGTGCAATCGATCTCCAAGTGGGCTGGGATTCAGGATCTATACGTGTTAAGTCGCTGCCTGTTTTGCTCTGTGGCCATCGTCGGAGTCCGCGTAAGCTGCAACGCATCTCCAGGCAGACGCCAATGTGCTTCCCGCAAACCACACTGCTGCGAATTGATGACTAAGAACTTTCAACTATTTGAGATTCGGTCAATCAGAATCGACCGATTTTTAGTTAAAGTCGTTGAGACTGATGTGTATAAAAAGTGCGGAAAGTTCAATTTTATGGCCAAGACTTTGACTGCCCTCTGGAATTCATTTGCGGCTCACATGGCTTTCTCCAATTCACTTCAGAGAGAGATTGTTTATATGCTTTTTCCATCTGAGTAACGTGGATGGCCTTTCAAGATCATCTGTGCGACTGTCACAGGGCCTTAGGTACGTACTACACTTATCCCTTTAATACCACTGCTAGTGTTACCAGGTTTGTATTTTTTCTTGCTGTCATGTGTTACTACTTCTCTGAAGGACTACTTCTCTGAAGGTATGCCATTGTATAAAGGAACCGCAGAACGCTTTAAATGTATACCCGTGGGTTCGCTCTCGCTCCGAGGAACCCACTGCTGGCGCAGTGGGTGCCAAAACCCCCACACAGCCAAAACCCCCACACACTCAAGAAAAATAAAACACTATACTTAACTTAGTCTAACTTATTTAAATAAAAATAGTATAAAGTAAAAAAGGTAGTTTTATAAACCTTATTTTTTAAAGAATTTAAATAAAATAGGTATAAAATTCTAGGGTTAGGGTTTAACTAGATTTTATTACTTTTTTATATTAATATTATTATAAGTTTTAACTTTAAATAATTTTATATTAATATAAAAAATATATTATTATAATCTTTATAATATAAAGTATTTATAAAATAATATAAAAATTTAAGGTTAGGGTTTTATAACATATAAAATATATAAAATAAAGAAAATAAATAAAATAAATAAAGTATTAATTCTATTTATTAATTCTATTTATTAATTCTATTTATTAATTCTATTTATTAATTCTATTTATTAATTCTATTTATTAATTCTATTTATTAATTTTATCTATTAATTTTATTTAATAATTTTATTTAATAATTCTATATAATAATTTTATATAATAATTTTATATAATAATTTTATTTAATAATTCTATATAATAATTCTATATAATAGTTTTATATAATAATTCTATTTAATCATTCTTTATAATAATTCTATATAATAATTCTATATAATAATTCTATTTAATAATTTAAATATTAATATTTTATTTTAATATTTTATTTTAATATTCTAATTTAAAATTATTATTTATTAATTTATTTATTAATTGAATTATATATTTATTATAAATATAAAGTTTAAAATATTTATTAAATAAATATTTATAATTAATTAAATAAATTTATTTTAAATTACTTTAACTTTTAAAATATTTATTTTAATTTAATATTAAATAATAAAAGAAAAATATATAAAATAATATAAAATATTTTTCAAAATTTACTATAAAACCTTAACTTTAAACTTTTATTATATTTTATAAATACTTATTATATTATAAAGATTATAATAATATATTTTATATTAATATAAAATTATTTAAAATTTATATTTATAATCATATAAATATAAAATAGTAATAAAATCTAGTTAAACCCTAACCCTAGAATTTTATACTTATTTTATTTAAATTCCTTAAAAAATAAGGTTTATAAAACTACTTTCTTTTACTTTATACTATTTTCTTTAAGTAACTTAGACTAAGTTAAGTATAGTGTTTTATTTTTTTTAAGTGTGTGGGGGTTTTGGCCGTGCGGGGGTTTTGGCACCCCCTACGCCGGCAGGCGTAGGGGGCAACCGAAGGTCTGACCCCCGGGTATAGGGTAAGACCGAAACCATTGTCCCCATCCTCTAGAGTTAAATGGAATTAGACAACCTCAAGGACAAAGGTAGTGTTTAAAGAGACACAGATAATGTGTGTGATACTACCGGTAGCTATGTATTTAGCGCTGCTATGCCAGCTAGTCTTTCAACTACTGTTCGTCACACAACGGAACGCAAGCACTATACACCACACCAAACCCGAATCAATGATCTCTTGGCCACTAAGCTAGACACAAGTTGAAAAGCATTCATTAATCAACCTTGGAACTGCTAGAGATTATAACGGAAAGGTAATCACTACTATAGTATCTCACGGCCAATACAGTATATATAATATAGTTTTACTTCTATTCTATATATATCTAAGGATATATATAACACCTTTATATAATAGTAAGTATTTAAAACTTAACACTTAAAAAAAATATAATATTAATAATAATAATTATAATATAATAAATATTTATAACTTTAACTTTATAATATATAAATAAAACTAAAGGGTATTATTTTAATAATAATATTAATTAAAATTATAAATAAAAGTAATTTATAATTTAATTACTATAAAAGAGTTATATAGTAAGATTAAATCTTTAAAAATAGTTACTATATAAATAAATTATATTAAAGAAAGCCTAACTAAAATTATCCCTTTAAATATATATATATATATATATATATATATACCTTATAATAAAACTCTTACTAAATAAATATTATAACCCCTATTTAAATATATAGCTATTAACTTTAAAAGAATTTAAAATAAAGAAATAATTTATAATATACTACCCTTAAAACTTTTATAATAAAGTATTAAAACTCTTAAAAAAAGTTTTAAAAGTAATTTATAAAAAAATAAAAAAAAGGTATAATAAGTTTATCCTCTTTTAAGTCTATACTCTTATTACTAATAACTATTAACTTCTTAATAATATAGAAAAGTATAATAAAAATAAAAAAAAGAGTAGATTTAAAGTTCCTCTTTAAAAGGATTATAAGGATATATATAAAACTATTAAAGACTTTATATATAAGCTTTAAACTATTAGGGAAGAAACGAGTAGTTAAATAGTATAAAGGAAAAATATAGTGTAGCCGAAGCCCAATATATATAATAGCCCGTCATATAGCCCAGTGTGGCTTAGAGGCACACCGGACAGCAAACCGTCGGGCGAATTGTACACTTGTTGGAATTGAATCCAATTGAACTTTCATGTCGGGGTATATACATGCCTAAGATAAATGATGTGCAAGCCATTTCTTCTCTAAGTCTCCTAACAAACCAGGCAGGACAGGAGTCACCTGGGCAGACGATAGAGAACCAAACAGGGGAGAGTATTATTCCCTCCCCTCTCCGAGAATTAGGAAAAAAAGCAACTCAAACCCAGTTTTCCTGCCAACGCCTACACGCATGCTGACAACATGGCCTAGAAGCCATTCCGGTGGGGGTATCGTAACGTGCTTCCAACGTTCGAGCCATGGCTCCTGGTCACTATCTGTCTGCCGGCTCTGTGCCCATGATGGGGGTGAAATCTCCGCCCTGCATATATGTGCCGATGGGTAATGTCGCACGTCACATCCATCACTTCCTTCTTTCCCCGGCCCGCCCGCACCTCGACGCCAGGGTGTTGTCCGTTTTATATGTCCATGACAATTATTCCCGGCCATTACCGTGGGTTCCTCCCCCCCTCCCCCGTCTCCGCGTGGTTGCCCCACCCCCTCGCAAATGCATATGTCGCGCGTCAGATGCAACCCTTCGGTACTGCACTCCTTCTCGCCCTGTCTGTGCGCCGTGCTGCCCCTGGTTCCTGGGGTTTTATTTTTAGGCCCACGGCGTTTGCAATAGCGCCACTGTGCTCCAGGCGTCGAGAGGACCACCCCCCCCCACCCCATGTCCTGCCAATGGGAAGAGATCTTCGACGCAGTGGGGGGATAAGGTGTGCCAGCGTGTATGTTGGGTATTCAGAAACGTATTGATGTTGCACGACGTCTGTCCGAAGGGGAAATGAAGACTTAGGACCCCGCTGCTGGTGTTTGCGTTGGCGATAATTGGACTAGCGATATTGGATGGCTGCCCGCATTTGTGTGCGTGAGTGTGGGTGTCAATATATAGCTGTCTCCTCAGCATTTGTGGCACCCAGCCGGGTTATAGAACGTGGCTGATCCCCATTTTTCTCTCGTACCCCTCCTGTTCTTTGATCCGGTAAGCATCATCGATCATTCACCGGTGTGGCTCGGGTTGTGGTACGCCATCATCATCGACCATTGGCCTCCCTGCGAGGGCACCGTGCCGCCCCCCGTCCCACCGCCGCCCGGGTCGCCTGAGCCCCGCTGCTCACCGCCGAGCGGCATGAGCGCGTGGGCGTTGGTGCCGTAGCGGTCTTGGGGGGAATGGGCTACGCCCATCGCGATGGCGCTGCTCCACTCGTTGGGCCACGGGTTGCCGCTGTTTGGGACCTGCGGCACGGTGGGCATGCCGTTGGGCGCCCCCGGCCCGGTGTTCATCCACCCTGCCTGGGCCTGCTGCTGATGATGGTGCGTCTGGTTTGCCGCCGCCGCCGCCGCCGCTTGTTGCGCGTTGTTGTAGCTGACCATCGGGTTGTGCGTTGCTTGTGGCGAGTGCCCGGGGGGCGTATGCGTCATCTGAGCTGCTGCCGCCGCCGCCGCCGTTGTGGCGTACAGGTAATGTGCCGACTCCCCGGTGACTGCTATGTAGGAAGACTGCATGGAGCCCGATGCGGATGTTGGTGTCGATATGCCGGGTGGGAGATCGGCGTATCCCATTTGGGAATAGGCGGTGCTCGGTGTGGTCAGCGAAGTGTTGTAGTAGGGCGTGCTCGCCATGCTCGGGGGGCGATGGATCGACAACTGCTCCGTAGCGTTCACCATCGAACTCGGTGTGGTGCTGTTGGATCGCAGCGACGGACGCCTGGACGCTGCCGAGCCGAATCCCTCCTGTTTGACTGTGAGATTGTGTTGCGGATGCGTCGCGAACTGTGACGTCGGCGTGCTATTCGTGCTGGCATTATGATTGCTGTTGCTATTGCGCCTTGCTCCCAGGTCATTTTCAATCGAGGCAACGGTGCGGTCGATGACGTTGGTAATCTGTGGCATTAATCGAGACTCGGGGCCTGGGACATCTTATGAGCAAGTGAGCCAAATGACTAATGACCTTAAACTGGAGATGGGAGCAACTAACCGATTCCGAGGTATTTTGTCACCTCCACTATCACCGACAATCCCATATTTATGTCGGTCTTGAGGTTATTGAGCTCGGTCATCGTCATGTCCGCCCGTCTCTCCCAATGAGCGGTAACAATTGTGAACAAAGCAGCCACGTAGACGGCCAGTTGGTACCACGTCGTGTCAAGCGATTTAAGCCTTGACAATTCGCTTGCGATTCTCAGCAGGCCTCTTGCTGACTCCTCGGAAACTCTGCTATTCTCTGCAACAAGGTTCGGGTCGGTGCTGGCACAGCGAGATGGGTGGCGTAGACAAAACATAAACTCGTGATTTGAGCCTGCCAGGTATGACGCCAGCATCTGGTTTTGTGGCTTGCACTTGTCAACCTGCAGGTCCTCTGGGAGGTCCCGTTCGTAGTTCCGGAATTGTTGCTCTAGTCGCTGCACAGACGCCATGTACTTGTTCGGGTCCTGGCGTACAGAGTACACATTGTTCCACAATTCCATGAAAAGAAAAGCCAGCTTGAAGCCGGCATGGCCCACGAGCCAGGAGCATTCGCCTATCCTTGATGGGTCCGTGATACCGCTCTCGTCGATACATTCGTCGGGAATACGGATCGGAAGCTCGGTGTCGAAATCGTCGGCCCTGATCGGCATGGGCTTGCCTATTCTGCCGTATAGTATCACGACTATAGTAAATATGCTCCACCACAGACGTTTCCGCATCTCGTTTTCAAGTGTAGTGGGTTCGTCCTTGTCGAGAAATGCACGATGCAAGTTCATGTCCATGGCTCGCGTCCATGTCAGGGTCGCCATCAGGTAGGCCGGCCCGGGTTTTGGAAAGCCGCGACAATGAATTAGCATCAGCACTAATGCCTGAGTAGACGGGATAGACATTTCGGAGCCCAAGTCCCATGTCTTGTCAAGGCACCAGTGGTAGTGCCTATTTGAGAGCTCGTTTAGCTGCGCTTTCCTCTCTGGATCTCCGCCGTCCCGCACGCTGAACTGGTAGTACATGATGGCGAAGACCATGTGCACGATAGCCAGCTCTGACGTCGATGCTTTGTAGGTTTGATCATCGTATATCCTTGAGAGCTGCGGTACCAAGTTGCATTAGAAGATAGCCCTGCACCCGCCCGTCCGCGAACAAATGGGACAACATTACCAATCTGAGATAAGTCGGCTTGTGAAGAATGGGCATAAACGGGCCCAGCATCACAAAGAACCACTCGGAGTAACTGAAGGCCTCTTCTTTTGCCGGAAAATGGATTTCGAGGGGTGGGTTGACCTTGGATATCGAGTTGACAAAAGACTGCAAGGATTTATTATAGAGCGGGGTGTTGTTCGGAATGCCTGGCGGTGGGCCGTCCACGTCCGGGGCGTTGAAAGATGTAATGTCTATCGTTGTTCCTAGTATGGAGAGCTGAGTGCCATTGATACTACACAAGGGTGCGCCTTGGGCTGCGCCGCCGAGACGGCCGTCGGCTGTCCTGGGATCTGCGGACTGGAGGGAAGATGCCTGCTGCGTGCTAGAGTAGCCCATCATTAATCTCTCGGGTTGGCGGCTAGCATCCTTCACCCATAGAGAAAAGAATTGTGTCCATTGGTCCTTGCTTGGGTCGTTGTCGGGGTCCAGCGACGTGCTTAATCCGTAGGGAGGAGTCCACTGCCACGGTCGGACCTGAATTCCTTTGTCTTCGAGCAACTTCTCCATGTCACGCAGGCGGGTCATCATGTCCTTTTTCTCGCGCTCAAGCTGTTGCAGATAACCGCGACGCTCTGTGCGTCCAGTGACACGGTCGGTGACATAGCATTCGAGGTTCTGCTGCGCGCATGGGGAGCATCCTTCGGGTAGTCCATCGCATCGGATTTTGCGAACCTAGATTCCAGACACACAGAGAGAAAGTCAGCCTGACGCACGGCGAGCTTTGCGGCTAGATTCAGTATAATCGGCCTCCTCTTTAGACATAACCTCGTCGGCTAACCTGCTCCGCGTGTGCGTTCGCATCGTCATCTCTGAAGGGCGAAGTCGTTTCTGACAATCGATCCCGCTTTTGATGCCAGCGCATGCACTATGATGGTTCCATCACGGTTCCATGATGCAGGGACTCCCAAATAACCGGTACCACGTGAGTCGTCACAATTCGAGGTCTTTGAGAGGCGCATGTCGGCCTGCAATGGGATAAAGAAGAGCAGCATGTCAGTAAGACGACGTACCTTGCAGCGATCGCACGCCTGTCCCGTCCGCGTATACGATTGCAATTTGTCCTTGACCACCTGTGAGAAGTCCTCCGGCCCTCTCTCGAGGCGAGGTAGCTTGACCTTGGATGTGCCAGGGAAGTTGTCCTGAGAAGACTCGCCCACCTCGCCAGGCCGCTTCGAAAGACGCCCTGAAGGCATTATCTATCCCCAGTGCAACGCTGGTGGCGGCCGACCGGTCAGCGACAGGTGTGCTGCGGTCAGCCTCCCCGTCTGCCTACTAGGTGGGCTTCCCCAGCAAGGTTCTGACTGCTTCTTCGATCGACGCGGTGCTTATCGATGGGTCGGTCCCACTTGGCCAGCAATATGTTGGGTGTTCCTCTCCAATCGGCAGGACGTGGCGTTCACCGCAAATCCGGAGATGTTCTGATGCCGAGAATGAGCGGACCTGGATCGATATCTCCCCGCAGGCTTGCTGGGACGTGGTAGGCTCCTCTGGGGGGGCCTGGCGGGCGTACAAGAATTGCACCACCTCTCGGGGCAGTTCTATGCGCACCGCACTGCGCCTTCCGGGGCTCCTTCGGTGCTGGATGAGCACTGGATCAACGGCGGATCCACGACCCAACCGGAACGCCTCCTCTGAGGACAGTGCCTCCGGCGCCGTTTCCGTGGCAGTTGATTGGTCTATTAGGGCTCTTCCGGGGTAAGACAAAGCTATGTTAAGAATCGTAAAGGGATGGCCGTCTATGCGGCCGTCTGCGGAGATGCTGTGTCGGTCGCACAAGCCGGGGTGTTCGTTCGTTCGGGCGGGCGTTTAGATGGATAGGCGTGAAATGGATCCTGGGCCACCAAACGGCTAAGAATTCTTGGGTGGCAGATAGGCGTCGCAGAGCTGGCCCCAGGAATATCAAGGATGTCCAGGGCTTGTGGAGCGGACCGCAGTGGCACGGAGAGAATAAGGTGTTTAAACCTCGCGGCAACGGCGCTGGTAGGGAGCTAGAGCAGAGCCGGGAGCGAGGGAGCAGCCGTCCGGGGGAGAACGCGTGCCTAATAGTGTGTAGGTCGAGGTGTCGATAGGCTTTCCAGTCTGGGCGAAAGGTACCGGAGCCCACCCGAAGGAGAAAAAAAGGCCAGGGGGACGGCGACAAGAACCAAGAGTGCTCGTTGGTCCCAGGTCCAGATCCAGCACTTTCAAGGGGTTGGGTGTGTGTAACTCGTGTGCGTGCACACCCTCGTAGAAGTCCAGTCCTCCCGCTCTATGCATGCCAACAGGGGACACACCGAACTATTATCACATTCGGGCTCACTTCGTCAATGTAAGCTGTGCGCGCAGATACAGAGCACGGTACGCCGTACGTGTACCTGTGGTCGACTTGGGCACATATACACTTGCGCACCGTACAAGACCCTGTACTTAGTTGCCGGCATGCCCAAATTTTGGAGCGTCTGCGCCGCAAGTGTCGCCCCAGTTGCCTGCCGTTGCCAAAAAGAAGGGGGGGAGGGACGGCAGTGGATGTATTCAAGGTTACCTATCGCCACCGGCCTGTGGGTGCCGCCCAGGTTCCACAGTTGGACCCCAAGGTCCCCTCTGACTTCGGCCGATTGTACCCTGCCTGGCAGTTCGTGCCCTTGGGATCGTATCCAAAGTGCTGGGAAAGTGGGCTGCGCTCGAGTCCACCGGAAATTGCAGGCTCTCAGGGATGCCGAAGCTTATTGGTCGCCTGTGGAATGCCCAGGCTGTCTTACTCACTGCTTGGCTGACTGTCTGCGTACATAGTATGCAAAAGGCGTGGGGGAATGATTGATACAGTGATATCAGACCACACGGTCGAACATAGAGGGAGGAGGACCAGGGAAAGAAAAGATACGGCAACTTTGTCTCGTGATGGCTTTTCCCGTGGTTTTAACCACCGGCGTCTGGGATCAGGCTTGTGGGCGGTGACATCCAAACATTGGCAAACACTGGGCGTGTCTAACGTCACAAAAGGGTCATGACCATGCCAGCAAGGAGGATCGGGTAAGCACATTGTGTTACTCGAGTTCTGCGGTAGCTCCAGCAATGCACGAAAAGTATGGCATGGTGTCGCCAGCAGTGGGGGGCTGCGTTCTCTGCGTGCGTGTTGTGGCACCGTGTCTCTGTGCCGGCTGCCTGCTGTGCGACTGGATCGACCACCTGTCATGCTGGGCTCAGGGTTGAATGGTTGGACAGCAGAGGCAGAGGCTGGCTGGTACAAGGTGCCTGTGTGCTTGCACGTTGTGCCAGTGTCTGCAGATCCCGTCCCAAACCTCGAAGCAATCCCGAGATCTGAGCCCCTCGTGGCCTAGGCGTTGATCTGACAGATGACGGGATGTCCCCCTGGCAGACTGGCTAGCACATCTGCTGTGCAGTAGACAGGTTCGCCGTGCGGGCAGACAAGTAGCTAGTACACCATGCCGCATGTACGCGTGTGAGGCCATGCAGGTGGGGTCGGTGCTGCTTGGGTCCTTGACAGGCGGTCAACGGTCTAGACCAAGAGACGATGCGGCTGGGACAACCATGGACGGGCAGATCCTTGCCCATCTCGTGCGCAAGTGAAATGAATGAGTCTCCGGTGTGGAGGTGCGGTGCGTAGCAGCCTCAAGCATGCCCTCATATAGTATAGTCCGGCTAATACGTTGGACACCAATAGCCCCCACATCGAAGAGCTGGCTGGCTGGCTGGTACTTTGGCAGGTACTATGTAAGGCAGGCTGTGAGGACGGTGGCACGCTCATGCAAGGTGTGGCTCCCCAAATCGACCCAGTCTCGCAACTCGTCCAGTTGTGACCAGATGCACCGGATCGGATCTTTCGGGCCAGTTTTTAAGGCTGAGACAGGCGGGAGGGGACAGGGGAACGTCCGCCAGGGCATGCCAGGACAGCGTCCGAGGCATGGCGAGGAGACACAAGGTGCTAGTGTCGTCTGGCCCTTGTTAGCACGCACGGAGTAGTGTACGGAGTAGGTGCACGGAAAACTGCGGTGGCCGTTGAGTGGCTGTCAACTGTTCCTGGCCACTCACTCTTACTTGGGTCTCTTCCCCACCAGGGACTCCCCATGATCAGAGCACTGGCGCATTCTACGGGTAGATACACACAAGGCTTATTTCTTGTGGGGGAACCCAGCCCGCTCAGGAGCTTCCATCGGGTTGTGGAAGCTTTCGAAAACTCGGGACGACTCAGCTCCCGGCTTCGATACTACCTTCAAGGACAGGCATTGCTAGCCTGCTGGGAGCCCGCCGGGCTGGCCGGCGGCGCCGGTGTTGTCTGCTGCCCATTGACAGCTGTCAGTGTCAGCAACAGCTGCGCCCCGAAATGAGGCCCTGGGACAGATAAACATCGGAGCTTCACGTTGGACGTCTTCATATCATGTCCGTCTTCCGCCTTCCGCTCTCCCACCGCGCATCTTCTCTTATTGAGGCAATTGTTGCTTGCAGGGTGTCCCCACCGGATCGAGATGAGCTGATCAACATATTGATTCTTTACTAGTGGGGTCGACGATCTGAAATGGGGTATTAGGGAACAGGCCCTGGGTTGGCCACGGTTAGATTCCGCTGTGTATGGCGCATATGCCCGTCCCCATCGAGAGTGCCAACCAGCCCGGACGGCCTTGGGATCCCACACACGAGCATTGGCATGGCCAGGAACAGACTCCCCGACCCCTCAAGGAACGGTGGTGTACCTCAAACTAGCATTGTCAAGCCCGCCCCAGACCGGCAAGTGTTCCCAGGGTCCCTTCGCCCCGGCGAAATTTGGTCTCCTCCGTCCGACAAGCCCACGCGGCATCGCGGAACAATATATGAAAATACGGGGGCCGTCTTAGGGGTTTGCCGGGCACGGTGATACTTTTTTGTAAGCTCGACGCCAGCGGTATAGCCCACACTTTACGCAGTGATCTTCTCTTGGCCGCGGACTGCTGTGTAGGGCGTAACGTCGCATGCCGGGCTCCCGGACGGGCCCGATCTGGCATGGGCCCAAGGTGAGCGAGTCAAGCCCGTTTATTCAGCCCTGAATGGGGATCGGGAAAATTGAAAAAAAAGAAAAAAGGAAAAAAGGAAAACCCAATTCCATGGAGTCTACGTGGCGCCTCCAGGGGAAAACAGGGAGGAGATCTCAGTGTTTCCTAGCTCTCAAGGAGATGTCCCGTACGGAGTAGAGGCATCAGACTGCGCGTTGTTGTGATCGTGGTCCGTACGGAGTACGCTGCTGGGTCCCTGCCATTCGCGCCACACGCGCGTGTTTCCACTAATCGTTTCGCCGAGGTAACTCGCAGTTTGGCCCCAAATCAGTTCAAGTGGCACCTGCAGCTGACCCGCGAAGGGGTTAAGTGTCCGGTGAGTACGCCAGGTTCCCACGGCGTGACAGAGGCATGAGGTTGCCAATCACCTGCAGTCGAAAGCGCCCATGCTACTCCGTACATTTGGGCAGTTGGGCAGCCAGCACAGGGTCTAGAAGCGTTGTCAGCCTGCACGAGGGCGTGCCAGCGCGTGTCTGCTTCTTTCGCGATCGTCCACGGATCGTACCGGGCCGGCTGTGCACTGTACAGGACGTTTTGCTGTGTTCCAGCAACAGGGAAACCGAAGTTTACCGTCGCCAAGCATGGTCATATTCAGTCAACCTGGTAGCCGGCTGAACAGGGTCGACCCATTCAATAACTAATGTGACCCGCCATTGTGCTCTCGGGACTTTTTTCCGGTTTCTGTCAGTGGACATGAGAGGCAGTCCATGTTGACACCAGGACCCAAAGACCCAAAAGAGCAACTATGGCATCATGTCCCGCTCTGTCTGTACACTAGGACGAAATCCACACATACCGGCACGGTACAAGACCTGTCGCTACCCGGGTATATGGCACAGCCCTGGCAATATGGAAAACCTTGTCCAATCCCAGGGCCTGGCCGCCGACATGCAGACGGACCCCGATACCTAGGTACCCGCAGCCACTTGTGTGAATATTCTAATTAGACTCCATGGGGAGTAGTATTCGCAATTCCAAAAAGAGGCAGTATGATGGAAAACTATGAAATGCCCTGCGTCATGACCACACAGGCGTCGATCGAATACCCACCGTGCAAGGGGAAAGTCCAGTAGCCAATGGCAGGATGCCTACTCAGCCGCGCTCACCGGACGCGTCTCGTGGATCTCCTGGCCCATCATCCCTAGCTGGGTTCGGACAGGGGGTCCAAGTCAGGGTTTGTGTAGGGATAGACTGCTCGGACTCGTCCCCGACTGTGGGTAGCTAATAAGCATTTCACAGTCGGCGATGGACGGGGACGGTCGCTACTTGACCGGAATCGTAGGCTGAAACAGGAGCACACAAGACCGGCCTACGTCCCGGCGGCACGACATCGCCAAAATGACCACCGACTCCGCCGGCCCACCTCATGTATCCGTCTTTTTTGTCAATAGTCGACCGGGAGTTTCCTCATGCAAAGTAGCGCACTGGCGCTAACAACCAACCGGCACAAACAGCCGAGTCAAGCGCCTCTGCATCCCACAAACCTCCTGTCAAACACCCCTATCTGGGTCTATCCTAGGCCGGGAGACATTGTTGGGACGCCTAATCTTTTAGCGAGTCCCGGTGCTGGGTGTCGCTAATAATCAAGCAAGGCAGTTCGAGTTTCCAGCATGCGACCGAGACCGACTTGTGTCCGTCACAAACAAATTCGCTTCTGCTATGCGGGTAGATATCAGGCCCTCCTGCAGGTCCTAGTAATGGCTGCCTCGATACGATGGCCTAACGCTGTATGTTTGTAAAACACCCCGACGGGCTCAGGCGGCCATGGGGGGCTCTTAAGAACTTGATTTCAAACCACTCATTCTTGTCGGGCTTTGGGCGAGCCCGGAGCCACTACGAAAGTTCTGAACCAAGGCAAATTGGTTACTTTGCAGCAAGCCTGCTCTCGTACGCACGCCATGTGGGCCGCGCCGACTGCCACATGCCTGCCTGCCTGAAGGGAAGCAACTATTGTCGGTAGGAATGCCGTCGCACAGGGCACGTAGACTGACAGGTCGCACTCGCTTCACAAGCCTCCTCCACTCCCGAACCAAACTTTCCCAAGTTGGTTGTTGTGAGAGACATCTAAGGAACCCTAGGCTGATCCAGAAAATAGGGCCACAGGCTTGATTGATTGTGAGCGGCAGACGATCTCGACCGTAGGGTGAGTGGGGGGCCAGTGGTACATGGGATTCGACACGATTGCTCACGCTTCGGATCCGAAGCGCACCCTGAACCCGCTCGTGCCTGTCTGGGATCGGCTTCCCACTTTTGTGCGTTTTGTCTTGGTCCCAAGACTTGGGATTCCCTGCTCCCTGGGCCAACGAGACACTGGGACACGAGGGGACGGGAACTCCATCTCCCAAGTTTCCCCGGTGCCATGTCTTGCACAGTAGAGGAACGCCGGCCGCGGGCAGCGACACGCTGTTTCCGATTGGATCAAGTGAGCCACATTGGACCGAGCTGACAAGGCTAGATCTGCGTATACCGTATATCGGCGAGATCCATGGCTTTCTCCGTCTGACACGGAGTTCTAGGAGGCGGGCCCCTTGGCCGTGTGCCCTACATGGTCCTTGATCAGAGGCGATCACACAAAAATGCCTCGCAATTGCAGCCCAAAGGGCACAAGACAGCTACCGCTATTGATGAGGGGTACCTTGGAGGATCCATCTTGTGATCCAAACCAATGGAAACTGTTGAGCACGCAATGGGTCGGCACTGAGGCGCCTGCAACGTAGCCACCCCCGTCCCACGCGGGCAAAAGCAAGCTTGGATCACAGCTGGGCCAGGTAGCTGCAGTACCCTCCCGGCATATCAAATGCTGCAGCTTGCGTTCTACTGTGTGGTCTTCCAGGGGTCAGATTATGGCCCCTTCACATGAGGCAAGCGCACACGAA